GAACACCCCCTCCCACATTGGGTTTATGATGGCAACGAGTAGAAGCAAAGATAAATATAATAGTACTTACTTATGTGAAAGAAATAATAACTGTAAAATCAAAAAGAAAAGGTGGGACTGAGAAGGTGAGGAGTATAAGCAACATTTATATTTAATAAACATCCAGGAGTCATCCAGAAGCTATTTTTAAAGAAAAAAAAAGTTTTTTTGAGGCTTGCAGATTAAATTTCTTCAGTATGCACTCCATTTATTAAACTACAATGATTTGTTATTGTCCTGATTTCATTTTAACTTTGCCTATGTTAATTTACATTTTATTATAGTCATTTTATCTAATATTTCCTTTTATATGCATCATTTCACCAGGCTCCCTTGTTTACAATAAAGCTTTTGTTAAAAAAAAGGCCACTCAACAGTCAGATACAGTGCTTTTTAACTTTATTATAAACAAAATAATGTGCCGTTTGTTGAATACAGAGCACATTGTGAGCTGAACAGGATGTACATTTGAGCCTCTCTAGAATGTAACTTGGGTGTGTACGATAATTTTCCTCAAAATACGATAATTTTGAGCTGCTGATACGATAATTCAACATTTCCCATCTGGCAACACTGCACGGGAGTCTGCAGTCAGCTGGTCAGCGCCCCCGCCCTCCTCTGGACCCCTCTCTGTCCAGCAGCTCCCTCCTCTGACGGTTCTGGCAGCTGCTGCTCCTCACATGGACGTGTTCGCTGTTCCTGCAGACAGACAGAAGGGATGGTACCTTTCTCTCATGGCCCCCAACACTAAAGGACCCCAGTTCGCCTGGCTGGACCCGTCCAGACTTTACTGCAACTCCCAGGTACGAGACATGCCGGGGGCCAGGCTTCTGTTTGTTCAGTCATCTGTGGTGCTTATTCTCCCTGTCGGGTTCGGATCCAGGCTCTGGCCGACTGTGTGAAGGACCTCCTGGGTCCGTTTCAGAACGACACCGTGGACCTGGTCGCTGGGATAGACGCCATGGGCTTCATACTGGGTGAGAGAACAAAGCAGGCTGTCAGCAGAGGTCAAAGGTCACAGCAGACCTGCTATAGGAGCTTTTCATTCTGATTTAAAGAGGCTGTACTCAGAAACATGAACCCTCAGGGTGAGAGACTAAATTTAGGTTACACACACACACACACACACACACAGCTCGACAGAGCTCTTAAATATGAGCATGAACATGTTTTCTTGTCTCTCAGGAGCGTCTGTCGCCAACACTCTTGGGAAAGGTTTCCTGGCGATCCGTAAAGCGGGTCACCTGTGCGTCGCCACCCAGAACCAGAACTACTCAGACTACTCAGGCAGAGAGAAGGTGATGGAAGTGAGGACGGACGTGCTGAGACCAGGTTCATCTTTGCCTCTCTGATGAATGTGTGTCTAATGATTGAACTGGAGGATGGAGGAGATTATTCTCTCAGAGATGATGATTAAACTTCCTGCTGCCTTTGGATTTAACTGAAGCCTCGTTAAGGAAGATTAGGACCACAGAGACAGAAAAAAAGTTATTATTTTACCTCTGTTCTCACTCTTTCTTCGAATGCTGAGATTAAAATTCAACTTTTTTTCTCAGAATTGGATTGAAAGTAGCCCAAATTCTGAGATTAAAGTCAGGATTATTTCTCAGACTTCGGAGAATACAGTCCATCTTCTAGGGATGAAGTCCAAATTCTGAGATTAAAGTCAGG